TTTTTCTGTGATATTCATGGCATAAGTAAAGGCCCCTATTTGCTGATTTAACGTATAATCAGTTTCTTGATTTGATAAAGAAGAAATTAAATATCTTTGAATGTCTTAGAACTTTCGCAAGCGTAGGTTCAACGTTTTCTTAAACACTAAAAAATATTCATTTCATTTTCTCATAAATAGGCTGCGCGGGTAATACACATGGTGCCAATGTGCAGGTAAGGTCTTCCCCGTGATGGGGAATGGACCTGTAGAAAACCTTCTCTGGTTCTGCAGAGTCGACTTTTTAGCAAATAAGATGTAGGAAAATGCACGAATATTTACTCGTGGCGTTTGGCGCATATTATTGATAGTGACCCGCCTTTTATGATTCTTAGACAGGTGTACTGTTGCAAAAGTATACACACAAGTATATTTAGAGCAGTACTCCCAAAAGCTTTATGGTTTGCGCGTTGGGGATAAAACAGAAAAAGGCGACATGGGTTCAATCCTCTTTGCGACCAAAATTGTGAATCACTTTTCAGCTCGATTATACGAGATTTTTTTTCCTGAATCGGACGGAAGACCTCTCGTTGCTAGCAACGAGATCGTTTCTAGTTATTATTATTTTTCATTTTTATTTTTTTGACCTTTTCAAATCGCGTTTTCTCGAAAACTACTCAATGAATTTCAGCCAAATTTTCAGGAAATATGTGTTGTACCATGCCATTTTGAAATATGAAAAGAAATTGGAAAAATTCACTTCCGGTCAGGAATTATTGCAAAATTTCATTTTTTCCACTAAAAACCTATTCCGTGAATGTTCTCAGAAACTATAAAAGGTAGGATTCTCAAACTTTCAGATATGATAGAGGTTGGTTTGTAGATGTGTGATAAGAACATTTCGTGTGTCGTCGCCACTTCCGGTCGTCACAGGAAGTGATTGAAAAAGGGTAATTTATTGAACTTTTTTGTTTTTTGACATTTTTCATTGATATTAAAAAGAATAATAGAGACATATTTGAGAATGATAAATATGTAATTTGATTTAGAATCAGAAATTCCTACCTCGAGATATTCGCATTTAAAAATTTGAAGTGGTGGTCCCCAATGGCGTAATGGTAAGCGCGTTGGATTTCCACGCTGGCGACCCGGGTTCCATCCCCCATATGTCCGAAATTTTTTTTATCACTTTTTCATTTCGATTTTACGTTTTTCTTTTAGAATCGGACGGAAGACCTCTCGTTGCTCGCAACGAGTTTCTTTTCTAGTTATTATTATTTTTCTTCTTCCTGGGAAAATTTTGTCCTCGAGTGATCTTGTAAACTATACATCCGACTTAGGTGAAACCTTTTTAGGGTCAGTAGGCATGTTATGTAGAGTTGCCCAACGAAGGTCATTTTGCGCGCACGTGCTTGCAAGAGCACGCACGTGCAACACGTTAAATGGCCAATATAATGTATACTGCAGTAACTTTTCTATTTTTTGATGAAATGCTTTGAAACTCATAATGTAAGGATATATTAGTAGTATAGACAAGAGGACATGGTCAAAATACCAAGATCTCACGCGCATGCACGTGCGCTTTGCTCTGATTGGCTGAAACTAAAGTCTCAATATCTTTCTTGTTTTTTGACGAAATCCTTTGAAAGTTTGAATATAGCCCTGCATTAGGATATGCTACAACATGTTATAAAGCAATTATCATGAAAACACGTGCATGCACGTGCGCTGCAATCTGATTGGCTGAAACTTTAAATAGCTATAACTCCCTTGGTTTTCAACCAAACAGGATGGGATTTGGAACATAGATATATATAATGGACTTCTACAAGAAGGTATGGTCACCATGCACATGCATACACGTGCATGCACGTGCGCTGCAATCTGATTGGCTGAAACTTTAAATAGCTATAACTCCCTTGATTTTCAACCAAACAGGATGGGATTTGGAACATAGATATATAAAATGGACTTTTAAAAAAAGGTATGGTCACCATGCACATGCATACACGTTCGTGTACGTGAGCTGCAATCTGATTGGCTGAAACTTTAAAAAGCTATAACTCCTTTGGTTTTCAACCAAACAGGATGGGATTTGGAACATAGATATATTAAATGGACTTCTACAATAAGGTATGGTCACCATGCACATGCATACACGTGCGTGTACGTGAGCTGCAATCTGATTGGCTGAAACTTTAAACAGTTTTAACTCCCTTGGTTTTCAACCAAACGGGATGGGATTTAGAACATAGATAGATTTAATGAACTTCTACAAGAAGGTATGGTCACCATGCTCATGTATGCACGTGCGTGCACGTGAAATGGGTAAAATCAAAAATAAACTTGAATGAGCGAATTTTTTAATACTTTTGGATTAAATACTTTAAATAATATTTAGTATATTAAAATATATAGATTGTGTAGACAAGATGATATGGTCATTACGTATATGCCTTCACATGCGCACACATGCAATGCTAAAATTTGAATGAGCATGGTACATTTCTGGGTAAACATTGTTAAAATTTCAAATGCATAGAGTTTGTGTTAATAAATGAAGCTTACCGGGAATATGGCACCAAAAGGGAGTTGGGGAGCGTTTGGGGAACATCTGTAACGGTCCCCGTTACAATTAGCACTAGTTCCTTTCTTTTTTTTTCCGGAAATTTAGGCAATTTTCAACTTAGTTAGATTTTTGTCCATACCTTGAATAAAGAGATGAACAGTTTGTCGGTGCAACTCCTCATAAACCGCTGCATAGAATTTAATCAAACTTTGCAGTTATTTAGGACACAATGTGTAGATATGCATATTACCAGAAAATTCTGATTCCTTTGTTGATTCCAGGAATTTCGGCACTTTTCATCTTAGATTTTTTGCCATATCTTGAATATAGAGATGAGAAGTTTAGCGCATTTCCTCATAAACAGCTGCACAGAATTTGGTCAAACTTTGCAGATATTTAGGACACAATGTGTAGATAAGCATAGTATCAGGAAATTCCGATTCTTTTATTATATCTGGAATTTTCAGCACTTTTCAACTTAGATTATTGTCCATACCTTGAATAAAGAGATGAACAGTTTGGCAGCATAACTCCTCTTTAACCGCTGAACAGAATTTGGTCAATCTTTGCAGATATTTAGTACACAGTGTACATAGAAATGGACAGTTTTTCAGCGCAATCCTCGTAAACCGCTGCACAGAATTTTGTCAAACTTTGCAGACATTTAGGACACAAATGTAGATGTGCATCAGGAAATTCTGATTTTAATTTCAAATTCAATGAGACTATTTTTGTATTTTTTTTAATGCAAGGGTACCAGTTTCTTAGTTTGATCATTATGGCTACAGGATCACACAACTTCATTCATTTTTTAAAAACAAATTTGGCACAAAAAGTAACATTCCGCAAATGCGCCCAACTATGATCCACCATCAGATTGTTCAAGAGTTGATTTAAATATCTATGCCCTATAATTTACATAAACGAAAGTCAAATAAGGTTTGGTACGACTTTTCTGGATTTAGGGCATCCATGGACATTTAAAAATATTCAATTGTTTCAAATCCATGCTGATTTAGGTGATGATTAACATGCGTTTTAATTAGAAATATCCACTAATTTCTAACTCTTACCAAAAGAGAACGATTTGGTAATATATTCTAAAGTAAAATGGCACATAAAAAGGGCCCATTAAGCATTGCCTAAGTGCACTTGTCCTTTCATACACTAATACATGTACAAGTTTTCATGTTGCATTACTAATATACCTTTGGTGGGGCATTCATGTCCTATGGACATATTTTGGGTTTAAATACATGTTTATATAATTATAATTATTAAACAAATTGTTTAACAAAGAAAAACATAAGTCAGAATTTTTTGGGAGATTTTTCATTATTTCTTCATATGTATCAATATGTGTATTGTCCTCACACAGAATTGATATCTTGAAATATCATCCTAGCCCTAGTCAACAGGTTGACCAAAGAATTTTATATTAAGAAATACCTGGTCCAAACTTAATAGGATGACGCATTGAAGAATGCAAACTTTCAAACCCAGATTATTTCAGATTCTGTATCTGACCTACATGTGTATATGTATATTTTCCAGATATTAAGTGAGTTTGTTTTATCCCCTCCCAAGTAACATCAAGTCCTACCTAACGTGCAGAAATGCACATTTAAATAAATTTAAATTATGGGAGGTTTAAATTGACTTACTTTTAGATAAAATTTGTCAAGATGAACGTTGTAATCTTTAATTGCTTATTTTTGAACTTGCGATGAATACGTTTACTGAATCTTTTCAACAGAGTACTAATTTTTTTATCTTGACCTTCTGTATGACCTTGACCTGAATTATCCTTATTCGGCATTGTATTTCAGTAAAAGAAAATTAATCAACACATTTACATCATACTTAAAGTTTATTTAAACTCTAGAAAAAAATTGAAAGCTATTCAGGTGTGTCAAAATTTTCTTACCTTACCCTTCCCCTGGAACGACCTAAATATTTCAGTAACTTTTTTGCATTTAGCACAGTTGGAAGAAACTGTTCATATAACATTGTATTTTATTTAAATTTTAAACACCATTACTAAATCAAATGGGTCTTAATCTTTTGACCTTGACTTCACCTCTAAGGCATGTTTACTTAATTGACCTTTTTTACTGACCTAATTTTCTGACGTATGACTTTTCCATGGCTTTGAACTGCATTTTTGAAGATATTTAAATTCAAGTTTGTTTAAAAAGAGGGGCATTGCTTAAATTATGATTACTTAAAAAGAATGGTGGAGAGGAAATTTCTGTTAGCACAGGGATAATGTGCTTATTTAATTAGTATAACCTGACATTGATCACTGTGGATTTAAAAGGTTATATTCCAATAGGAAGAGTCTAAGTAATCTGACCTTTTAGCACATGCACATGAACTAGTATTATGAAAACAACATAACATGCATGTATATTCCAACATTTCTGTATTTAATAATATTTTTACATTTCAGTGAAGGATCATTACATATAACATGCCGTGAGGAGACATCACAACAGATGGAGCAGATTACATTAGATGTCTGCGGCTGATCTGTAATGGACACGCTCAGGGATAGTTGTTATTTCCTGAAAATGGACAAGCCATATTTGTGTATATGTGCTCTATGTGGTTGTCATAAAACAGATTTGCTCAAGATGAAAGAAAGTTGTGAAAAAGCTGTCTATCCTATAGTATGGATTTGAGATAAGGATATTCCAAGCTTTTTCCATGTTTTCCTGTTCTAATGCAGCTTGGAATTTTGACACCCAAGAACTGAAATCTGAAAACAAATACAAAATCAACAGTCCAATAATGGATCTCCTTTGTTGAAACCTTTTAATTTCTGTGAATTTATTTTCTTTTACCGGCGTATTTTGTTTTGAATCTGTCATAAGTATAGTTAGCTTATATTACAAATAATTTTGCACAGGAATACCAGGTATATATTTCTATGAGGAAGTCAAAATAATTAAATAAAATCTTTAAAAGTTGGTTTATAACCATAAAGTGTTATTTTTAAGCTTGTGTGTTTTTACTCATCTATTAAGCTGAAAGTTCAAGTGTGCTTACTGAAAAGTTGTCAAGGGTCCAAACATTTGCCTATTCACCCCTATTTTTCCCAATTTCAACATTTTCTGAAGACCTACATGTCTATTTTTAACCAAAGTTAATATGAAACATCCCTTGTTAAAATGTAAAGCATGCATCCCTATCAAGGGGACATATTCCAGAAAAGGCAAATATAGGGTGGGATCATTCATAAATCTTCCAAAGTACTCCTTGCCCTGTAAAGCTAAAGTGGAAGGTTTATAGTTTAGATTATTAATTGTTCAAATCATCTCTTGGGATCAAAATAATGAATATTATGTGAGGATGTTTCCATATACCTGGAAAATATGACCAATCATGACTGCATTTCTTCAGATTTATTTATAAATAAGTAGTTTTGGTAATAAGTACCAGTTAACCATCAAACAAAGCAAGTATCAGTTAGTAAAACTGCTATTCGGTTACTCGCATAGAAAACATTTTACATAGTAAATACACAGAAAATGAATGTCATATTGTTTTTAAATGTATACTGTCTTACACATTTTCCTAATGTAAGGTACCATCAGAAATTTATTTAGTGGCTCTAGTAGATCAAATTGTTTTGATTAGTTTTCTCCATTTTTTTTTTATAATTGAAAGCTTTGATTGCCGGGGGTTTACAACTTTTGAAGACCCGAGTCATAGTTGCCTCATTTAATAATTTCTGATGAATCATGAGATGCTGCCACAGAAATATAAAGCTTTGAGTTTTTTTTAATGAACAGCTGATTCAAAATCTGTTAAATTACCTAGGCTTAAAATATTATTTGGAAATTACTGGACACTCCACAATTTAACTAGTACATTGTAATTACAAACTAGGTAAAAATTATTCTCCTTGGATATGTTTCGGGGGATGAAAAGGAAAACATAACAAAATTATGATCAACGACATATATATTTAGTAGGGGGTAGGGGGGGGGGGGGGTGATGATCTCAAAAATTTAGAATCTACACTACCCCAACAAGCTTCCACATAAGTTTCAGCTTTTCTGCTCCAGTGGTTCTTGAAAAGATTTTTAATAGCCCCGCTCTGTTTTTGCATTTTCTCAATTATCTTCCCTTGGAAGGGGCTTGACCCTTAATTTAAAACCTGCTATATTCATGGGATACTTTTGTGCAATGGGAAATTGAAATGTGAAAAGTTAACAAATGGATAGTCAGACATTGGGTGACCAGAAAAGCTTACTTGAGCTTTCAGCTCAGGTGAGGCTAATAACTTCAGATGACCTAAATGATACTGGTACTTTAATTTGGAATCATTAGATTTCATGGTGATACAATTTTCACAAAGGTTTATTCTCTATAAGGCCGTTTTTCGGCCTACAATGACTCCAAAATTTCAAAATATATTTTTTCCTTTAAAAACTGTATGAATCATCGAACTAAAGTTTAAATTTAATGCCACAGCTTGTTTGGTCACTGGTCCTGTAGTATTTTTTATGATATGGGGTCTCAAAGTGATGTACCATCGCTCCGTAATAACATTAGCGCAATGGGAAAACATGAGAGGGTTGAGGTGTTTGACAACTCCTACACATGTCATAACCACCTTTAACCAATACCAAAATTTAAATATAAACTTTTCAAAACTATGAAAATTCACCAGAAAAAAATGAACTTGGTTAAAGGTGGTTATGACATCTAAATAAAAACTTTATCTTTATTTTTAGTAATAAGTAGAGAAAAGGAATCTACTCATTATGGATGCTATCAACCTATGTGGATTATTTTTTCTCGTTAATTTTTATTTAGAGTGACATTTTCTGTGGCTACAATCAGAATTAAAAGAAAACATGTAATTTTCCTAGGGAAAAAATTGAGATTGATGTTAGAAATATATAATCAAAGACCTGAAAGGACTGGGAGACATAAATTAAATTCTTGCTCTACTTATGGTGATTAAGTAGAGTCAGTTAGGAGTGAAGTAATACTTTTCTTTTTTATGTACATTTTATGCATTATATGACGCAAATTATTTTGTTTAATTTCCCTCTCATATCTCTTAATACATATTTGTAAAGGTACACCCGTTTGTTATATTTTTTTGTGGTTGTACAAAGATACTAAGTAAATTTATATGATCTGTGTTATTTGTTTAAAAACGGTTACTGGTATGAAAAATACCTTTCATAATGGGGTTTCTCGTCCCAGCCTGCCAGAGAGACGCTCATATTTTCTCCGTATGAGTGAGACAGGGTCGAAGTAATGTACGTTATCTGGATGCTGAGGTGAACTTCATCTGCGGATTTGGGGAGCCAACACGCATCTTTGGTAGCATTACAAGCTTCGAGAACTGCGGCTCTGGCTAAGCAAACCAGTATTCAGGGGAATCCTTCCTGTTTGGAAGTTGCAGAAACCTGCTTGATCGTAGACATACTGAAGCTCACTAAATGGGTAGTGGAAGGAGCTGTTGAAAATCTTGCGGGTTTATATGGAGTGCCGGTGAGCGGGAGGGACAGTGTCCTGGCTTTTATTGCCTCAGCCGTGCTGAGAACGCAATCCGGACCTGGATAGGGGCAAATACCCTTTTTCATACTTATGGAATCCTATAAAGTTCAGCAATACCTTATCTGTTGCATTTGCAACCAACGACTACGTAGTTCATCAGGTTCAAGATATATCAAAGAGACTACCAACAAAGAACTCTATGATTACATCAAGTCAAAAATAAATTATCAGGCAGACGAATCCGGATATTTACTTGTAATAAATTCCGAATGGCGTATTACCACAAACGAACGACAAAACAAGAATGAAAGCGAAGAGAATGATACTGACGGAGGAACCCCAGGATGCTCATCCTTTGGTACACAAGGTTATCAAGTTAGAAGTCCCTCGTAGTATGTTTTCACATGCAGTGTCAATTTTGTAATAAACGAGAAAATCTCGTTGTGATAAATGAAGACATGAGGACAAATTCTTTCATAGAAACTGGTATAATCATACCAGAAGGTACCAGATGTTGCCAGAAACGTTTAAGTGAGGGTGGGTTAAAGGAAGAATGCAAAAAGATGCTCTCGAAGGTGACAGATCATACCATGTTCAACAGAACAGATCTAATGACTTTGTTGTACAATGTTCTCATGAATGTGCTGAACAAGCCGAAAGGAATCAACTTTGATAACCCTCTTGGACTATCAGACACCGATTATGTCCATTTCACAGGTCTCTCTAAACAACAATTTGATAATTTTGTAGCACACCTTCCATCACTGAGAAATAATTCAGTCAGATCAGCTAGAACATGTTTAGGGCTTTTGTTAACAAAACTGTGTACAGGGATGTCCCTTAAAGTGATGAGCAATATGTTCCAGATACCTAATGTACAGTACATATCAAAAGCAATCCACAGTGCAAGGGCTGTGCTAATGAAAGAATTTGTTCCCCAGTATCTGGGCACTCAGCATGTTTCTACGGACGAATTTATTAGAGAACACACAAGTCCTTTTGTAAAGCAATTATTTGCAGATGGTGAAGATGTTGCAGCCCTTGTTGTAGATGGCACATACATTTACATAGAAAAGAGTTCAAACTACAGTTTCCAGCGCCGAACATACAGTGCTTACAAAAGCCGACCGCTCCTAAAGCCAATAATGATAGTGGGTACTGATGGTTACATACTAGATGCGATTGGTCCTTATTTAGCAGATGGACGCAATAATGGTACTTCAATTTTAACCAGTATCATGAAGAATGATACCGAACGATTGAAAACTTGGCTTTAAGATGGAGACATATTTGTTCTGGACAGAGGATTAAGAGATTGCAGGGATTTCTTACAACAAATGGGTTTTCGAACACAGATGCCTTGCTACTTAGAAAAGGGGAAAAAACAGCACTCTACTGAAGAAGCAAACGAGTCAAGAATGGTAACAAAAGTACGTTGTGTTGTCGAGTCAGTGAATGGAAGGGTGAAGCGATGGAAAGCTTTGGGTCAAGTGATGCCAAATACACAGATTACGTATGTATTGTATGTGCATTGTGCAATAAGTACAGACCTCCGATTAGAAATTCTGAATTTGAGGACACTGAGCTGGCAATTTTTGTCATTCCTATCAAAGACAACTAATGAGTTAGAAAAACGGGTGGAAAATGAAAAGCTTGCAGCTAAAAGAAGTGTATGGGAGTCAGTTGATGGATTTGATATGGAGGATTTCCCTCGTCTTTCAGAGAATGATATTAGAGATATTACCGTTGGGGTATATCAAATAAAGCAGGCAAAGGCTTATACAATAGAACATATATCACCTGAAGGGAAATATGTATTATTTGTACACAAACAAGAGGATGGTCTATTGAAGGCCAAGTTACAATCAAGACAGTTCTTCGAAAACGTACATACTATGGATTTCATGATTGTGAGAAAAGAAATCCAATAACAGGCTGGTATTGCCAGTGTAAATCAGGAGCTCGCACATTAGGCTGCTGTGCTGTGGTATTTGTCCTTCCAGCGCCATCAAGATAGTAAGTTAGTACCACGACCACTCTTTGATTATACAAAAGACGCAGCGGATTGTGACTGGTTGTCTGAAGATGATCCAGAGTAAATGTATCTATTTACTTTAATTTGGATCATGAAATACAGAAGTTTTCGTTCTTTTTAATTTAGAATAAACCTAATTTTAAATATTTTTATTCGATACGTGATTTTAATTCGTTTTCAGAAATTTTTAATACCCCGTTTAATACGTACACTTAGGACAATTAGCAATTCCTATTCAATGAATATTTATATGATACCTGTCAACTATATGAAAATTAATAAAAAAAAATTATTCTTTACGAATTTACTTTTATTCATATAAATAAAAAGAATATTTTAACTCTATTATTTTTTAGCAATAATCGCTCATTTGGATGGTCTAAATACAAACTGCGATGCAGGTTTTCTTGGCTAA